TTGGTGAGTGCCTTGATTTAATTTGTAGGTAGTAATTAGCTCAGTACTTTGCTAAATTTTAGGTGAAAGCTTCACATGGTATGTGTGTTAAGCAATGCTGCATTGCTTTTTATTAAGTCTTGCCTCTTAAAAAAAACCTGCTGCATTGCTCAAATGCACTCATTCAGGGAAACGATAAGTGTTTTGAGCAATTTCCATCTGCCTAATCTAAGGAAGAACACTGTATTCCGTGGAGAAGTGTCTTCTTCACCAAAGTCTTAAGCTCTTCTACCTAGTTTATTTCTATAACACTACTTTGGAGAGAGTAGTTTGCTTCAACAAAGGGACTCCTCCATATTCACACTGCTTCCTTCTCTTTAGTCTTTACAACTAGAACAGCGACTTTAAGCTTAAATTGGTTTACTAATCACAAAATGAGGTAACTGAATGTTAAGCTCTGGACTTTAAATATTTAGGGTATAAAGAATCAATGACATTAACAACATTCTATGCTGGAGTGTGTGTATGTGTGGTACGCGGAGAGATGCTGTGAAGTGTTGGTATGTTTTGGTGTTTATTGCCCATTGATATCTCTTACACCTGGGGTAAATGGATTTGGCACTAATTTCTTTCTCATGATGCAATTGTTTGGAAAGGAGTGAAGTAGCTCTGTAGATATATTCAAGCAACCAAGTGTAGTCTACTGTACTCTGTTAGTGAATGTCTGTGTCCGCTGTGTCTGACTATCTTAGGATGCTTAAGGCCATATTTAGTAGCATATAGGGATTCTGTAGCCTTTTCATAAGATATATATCTTCTTATGGCCTTCTGACTTCTGAGTAATAGATATATTCACATTAGAAGTTAAAAGTATGAACTGTATCATAACTGGACAATTTTTTTGTTATTGCAGTCACACAAAGACTTTACAGAGGACCGTGTTAATGCATTCGTTTGTGATCTTACTGTGGATGAACTAAGCAACGATGTTCCACCATCATCAGTTGACATAATTACTATGGTATATGAGCAATTTTACTACTTCATACCATCTAGACATTGTATTGAAAGATGTTGCAACGCCTGAAATGGGTATTTGACTTCTTGAGTATTCTATCGCAGCGCTTTTGAAATCCAATATTCGGAAATGACTTAATTTAGAATTTTAATTAAAGAATAAGTAGAGTTGGTCCCATATAAGATTTGATTCAAAAAGTAACCAGACTATACAAGTATGAGTCATAATTTCATATGTTTGAACCACAAATCATATAATTTAAGATTGTTTTCCGTTTGGAGAGGGAGCAATTTGTATTCTTAATGTGACATTTTGTTAAATTGATAGTACTCGCCCTAGGTTTTCATTTATGCCAATAATGAAAACTTTGCTCTTCAGCATTGTGTTTTATTTAGATCTGATTATGTGGTCAACCAGCTAATGTCTTAAGCAGATTTTTGTGTTATCTGCAGTAGCTCCAGAAAAGATGTCTCAAGTATTGCGGAATATTAGCAAGGTTCTCAAAGTAAGATACTAGGTTTCATACTCTCTGCTTTGTTCCACATATCTTTCCCTTCATTGTGATGACACTTAAACTTTTCCAGCCAAATGGTATTGTGCTTCTCCGTGATTATGCACTTGGTGACCTTGCTCAGGTTGGTCTCCTTTGCAATTTCAATGTACTTATATTATAGTTAACCACTCAACATTTGTGTCGGTTCAATGAGTATCTCCCATGCTTTGATTGAAATAAAATTGATTTTTTGGTATGTTAGATTAAAATGCTTTCCTCCTATCTTGGTGATGAATTGGAAGCTAAAAATTTCATTTACCTACTCATTTAAAGTTTTCCCTCAAAATGTAATTGATGTGGTTCAGCTGGACTGCCTTCTCACATAAAGTGTTTTCTTGTATATAACTTTGGACAACGTCCTTTACGAGTTAAAATTTTCTCCAGTATGATTATCTGAATTAGAAGTGTTATCAAGTGTTACATTCTTGTAAACTTGTTCCTACTATCTTCTAAGCTCTGAGTATTTTGTTTGTCCCGATGCCAATGTTACAGGAAAGGCTCACAAGCAAAGATCAAAAGATCAGTGAGAATTTTTATGTCAGAGGTGATGGAACTGTAAGTATTGTTAGCACCAGAATATTATTTCTTACTGCTACTGTAGTGTAGTTAGCATTATGATGTGCCTTCACAATGAGCTTTGGTTGTTGGATTAAAATCTAATCCTTCATGTTTTTTACTTTTCAGCGTGCTTTTTACTTTTCTGAAGATTTCTTGACAAATTTGTTCAAAGAAAGTGGATTTGAAGTTATAGAAGCCGGCTTGTGCTGCAAGCAAGTGGAAAACAGGTCACAAGAGTTAGTGATGAACCGGTATGTCAATGTATTACACAGGCATCATAACTTTCGGCTGGACAAATTGTTTACGTGTGTTTTTTACCGTGCTTCATATAATCATATCTGAATGTTCTTTGTTATTTCAGGCGTTGGATCCAGGCTGTTTTTGGCTATGCAGACAATACCACTTCATGTCGGTCAAAATGTGGAGTCGGAGTGGACCTTGATCAAGACTTTAATCAGCCTAAGCTGAAAATTGGAACCAGTTTAACAGAGCCTGAAGATGATTTTGACCTTGATATTTCTGAGAGTATCGCTGTTGACATGTTCGGTATTTCACCGGCCATCGATGAGGTAACACATCACTCTTCAACCTCTCTTGATCTTTAGGGCTTGTTATTTGGATGTGCATCTAAATGTCCATGAAGAATAAGTCTATATTTCAAAGATTTTTACTCTAAACTTAGATAAAAAATATTCTCAGATTCTCGAGATAGACCTTGGAGATTGCAACTTCAGGATCAGAGGACTTTCTAAAGAATACCAACATACCTGCAAGTCAACAGGCTTGATGCTCTGGGAATCAGCTCGTCTTATGTCAGAAGTTATAGCTCGGAATCCTTCTATTATTGCAGGGAGAAGAGTGCTCGAGTTGGGTTGTGGATGCACGGGTGTCGCCTCAATGATTGCAGCTAGATCTGCTGCCCTGGTGGTTGCCACTGATGGGGATGCAAAAGCTCTTGATCTTTTAGATCAGAATGTTGCCTTGAATCTCGAACAAACCTTCCTTAGCAAACTGGTTATAAGGAAATTGGAATGGGGAAATGCAGTAGACTTGGAGTCTGTCAAGACACTTTGTTCCAATGGTTTTGAAGTTATCATAGGAACAGATGTGACATATGTCGCTGAAGCCATCTCCCCCATGTTTGCCTCTGCAAGGGAGCTGATCTCACGTAGAGAAGATGATAATGTCGAATCAAGACCAGCTCTGATTCTTTGTCATGTTTTGCGTCGAGTAGATGAACCATCTATACTTTCAACTGCTGCACAATTTGGTTTCAGGCTTGTTGACAGGTGGCCAGAAGGGATGTCAACTGATTCATCCCAAAACATCATCAGCTCTTGGTTCTCAAATCAAACTTACACCGAAAACTACCAAAACGCAGCCTTGAATATCTGGTACTTCAATATGTGAATACACATTTTTTGTAGGGTTACATAATTTTATTGTAGCACTGTAATAGCCTAATAATAGGTACATGTCCAAATAGATATTTTGTCACCCGTGCAACAAGAGTAGCCATTTTGAATAGTATGCAAGCAACAGTCTTGTTGGACTGAAACAGCCTCAAATTGATCTGTGCACATATACTTAAAAGCTGCATTCTGTTTTGTTCATCTAATGTCAGGATTCTGATGTAAGTTGGTCCCCAACTATCCAAAAAAAATTTGTAATATATTGCGAATGTATGTATGTATGTTCAATCGGAAATTTTCTATGTCATGGTATTCCTATATATGAAGTAATGGTTGATATCTTTCGTTTGTTTTTAAGCTAGTTTATAAATAGACAAAGGTTAATGGTGTTAGGTGTAACAGGTATATCCATTCAATCAATTAACCACAGATTTGAAATCCAAAGGTTTCGGAAGTATCATATATTGTTTGAGGCAGTTTTAGGTCCTAGTAGCGCATTTTCAGATAGAGCAAGATATCTCCCTATATATATATATATAAGACACAAAACCAACTGATTCAAAAGATTATGGAAGGGTCTGTTTAATTAAATTGACAAGAAAATTGTTGTTACAGCATTATTTCGAATCAAACAGATGGCTACCATAAACAAGTTTGCAATAATGTTCATACTAGTTGTGGTGATTCAAATGCATTCATCCTATTCAAGTTTCCTCTCAAAGCAACGACATATAAGCATTGTGAATTTAATTGGTCGACACAATACATTGACAGTCCATTGCAGATCGAAGAATGATGATCTAGGCCGGCATGATATCGCATATGAAAATTATTATGAATTCAGCTTCAAAGATAATTTCTGGGGTTCGACTCTCTTTTGGTGTCGCATGTGGTGGTATGATAAACATCAACTAGTTTCAGGAACCTTTGATGTGTACAATGCTGGTAAAGAAGGTCGTGATTATGGTAAAGATATTGTTCAAAGGGCGCAATGGGATGGACTATATTTTCAGGATCCACATTCTAAATATTTTAAAATGATGAAGAAGTATGAGTGGACAAGGGGAAAGCACTAATGGACATTGTCATCTGCAAGCATGACTTCTGTCATCGATCTGCT